TCTGAGATCCATGTAGGCTTGCGTTCCTTAGGGCCCCTTTCTCTCCAAATGCTGTTAACCACTCATACCCCGAGATCAATGCTAAGACAGGGCAGGGGGTGAGCAGCACCCTAGGTCAGATTTGGGGGCTCTGTGAGCAAATGTCAATTCCGTCTCACTGGTGTACCTTCTCTTCTCCAGGAGTGTTGAGGCTTGTTACTATATTATTGTCTTCCCCTTTAAGAGTTAATCCAGCTGGGCTAGCCAGTTACCTGGCATAGACCATTGCTTGGGAAAGCCAATACACCTTAAGCCTCACTAAAGCGATGGGAGGAATACTTATCCCTTTGCTGAGATAATGAATTCTTGCTTTCCAGAAAGCTTGGCCTCAGTGGACTGCTTACAGAATTACCATGTCTCATGTGATCCATCTCTCTCTCCCCCTCTCAATGCTGGACAAAGCCTTGACACTTTTGGATTCACCGCTCTTCCTCCAAGGCTCCCTTCTTTTTTTGCCATGTGGCTGCTTGCTGGTTGGGAGCTCTCATGTGTGCCTACCTCAAAAGACATGGTTTTCCCTCTCTTCAGCTTCCTTCTCCTGGCTATGCTGAGATTTACAGATTGACTGGGGCGTTCTTGTTTTTGTTTTAATTCTAGTTGAATTGTTCTTGGGCTTCCTTCTGAATCCTTCCCTAAACTTTTTTATTAATAAGACTAAGAACCCAAGAGGAGACCCCATTTTCCTGGCCACGTGTTATCCCAGATAAGAGACAGCAAAGCTGGCCAGTGGGAAATGTGTGTCTGAATCCCCTGCAGAGTTCTGAGAGGGCCTAGCTTCTGGGATGAAGATAGCCAGGAGCTCTTTTGTCATTAGACAGAATAATTATGTGTTAAGGTCTGCAGGTGCATAACATCTGCATGACTTAGCCTGGTTTTTGATTGGTTGGAGGTCATGGCCATCTGGCATTGGCAAGGACAGTTTTTCAGAGCAGCCAATTACCTAAGCTGCTGTATGTCTCCCCCTTGCTCCCACAAGGGATGGTACTCATCACATTGATTAAATGACATGTAATTGCAGCAACTAGTGTAATAAAGGATGAATACTGAGGTGACGGACATCATGCTGAATAGGTGTCTACCACACCCCCTCCTGCCTATTTTGAGTATAACTGCAGAGCTTTCCACTGCCTGTTTCTTTCTTGGTTTTTATCTTATTAATCATTTTTATTGCTTCTTGGCCATTTTCTCATTAGACAAAGTGCTGGTTAGATTTTATTTTTATTCCATCGTAGCTCTTACTTTTTGTCAACTTGCCCACAAGTTAGGGTCATCTGGCAAGAGGGAAACTCAGTTGAGAATATGCCTCCATCAGACTGGCCTGTAGGCAAGTCTGTGGGCACATTTTCTCGGTCAGATGTGGGGTTGCTCAGCCCACTGTGGGTGGTGCCACCCCTGAGTTGGTGGTTCTGGGTACTATACCAAAGCAGGATGAGCAAGCCTCGAAGAGCAAGCCAGTGAGCAATGTTATATTCTCCATAGCTTCTGCTTCAGTTCCTGCCTCCCAGTTCCTGCCCTGACCTCCATTGATGATGGACTACCATGTGGAAGTGTGAGCAAAATAAATCCTTTCTTCCCCAAGATGTTGTTGGTCATGGTGTTTATCACAGAGTAGAAAGAACTAATACAGATAGCAAATTTTATAAGGTCACTGAACACCTAAGTTTGGTGTCTTACATACTTTCCATGGATATTTCTCAGTGATGAACTATTTGTTCCTATTTGTTGAAAACAAGTTTTTCATATTTGAATATTTTAGAAACAGCCACAGTTAGCTTTTTGGAATACCAGCTAATTCTCTATTCTTTGCACTACTGGGTTGTGTTGAAATTATCAAAACTCAAAATGTAAATTATTTTCTTGGTTCTGGAGTCTTCTACAGTTTCCCTGTGTATGAACTGAAAATGTGACTGCTTGCTAGTATGGTTAAGAAGAAGGTAAGGGAGAGAGAGAGGGAGAGAGAGAAAGAAGGGAGAGAGACAAGAGAGAGAGAGAGAGAGAGAGAGAGAGAGAGAGAGAGAGTGAGAGAAGCCAGAATAGCAGGGTTATAAGGAAAATGAGTGGGTGGATGGGAAGCCTGTGAGCTGGAGGGAGTTTAGGATGGGGAGGAGATGAGCAGAGCTAGGCTACTTGCATGGACTTTGAATGTATAACAGGTACTTGTGATGCTGAGGGAGCCTGGAGGCCAGTGTGGGCTTTGATATGCTAACAGACAGCACAAGGAGTATGTCTCTTCTGCCTTTTGGATTTGGGGAGATGGAGTTTCCTTTGGACCTGACACATTCCATAAGAGTTTTCGTTTTATGACACCTGTCATCTTTATGCATGGTCACATACCTGATTCATTTGGACAAACAGATGAGTGATGTACCAGAAAGTGCTCTACACAGTGTGGGGAAGTTAGGGAAAACACAATCCAAGTCCTTGGAGTTTGGATCAAATGGAAGAGTTAGAGTTATTGACACATAAGTAAATGTATTATGTTTCATACAATCAAAGGGATTTTTAGGACCTTGAGTAAAAACACTTGAGACCCACATGGTGAAAGGAGAGAACTGACTTATGTAAATTATCTTCTGACCTCCACAGCAGGTATGTGTGTGTGAATGTGCATAGTAGCGAAGGAGCATACTCTCTCTCTCTCTCTCTCTCTCTCTCTCTCTCTCTCTCTCTCTAAATAAATGTAATTTTTACAAAGAAGTATAAAAAGAAACAAATATATGTGATGAGGAATATCAGGAAAGGTCATGAAAGAAATGTCTGAACAGGACCTTAAGGAATACATGGGAATAAGTGACCACCAAGGTGGACAGGTTAGCTTGAAGTCACAGAGACATGAAATAATGGTATGGCTATGACTATAGCACTAAGTGCATGAACAGGGAAGGAACAATAGAACTACACAAATGAGCCAAGTGACATATCTCCAGCCTTACATGCTGGTCATGCTCTTGAATTTCAGACCTGTGTAGACAGAACCAATAATGGGTCTGTGTGTATATGTGTATGTGTTTGATACATTTATATAATACATAGCTAAAGTAATTATATATCATTGTCAAGTTATTATGCAGGCAGCATTAATAATCAGACATTATATAAGTATGCATTTTGGGTCTATGTTATGATATTAACTCATGAAGTTATGGGGGCTGAAAAAGTTCCCCAATTTATGATTTGCAGGCTGGAGACTTAGGGTTGCTGGTGTTAGACCAAGTCTGAAGATTGATAGGGCTGCTGTTATAAAAATCCAGGCCCAAAGTAGAAGACATGAGATGTCCCAGCTCAAGCAGTGAGGGAGGAATTCAAAGGCAAAGTCCTCCTTTATTTGCTTTTTACTCTATTTGTGCCTTCAATTGATTGGATGATTCCTAGCCACCCTGGGGAGGGCCATCTACCCCACTGACTCTTCTGATCCATCTGGCTACTCTGTGGTCCACTCAGATTCACAGAGAGTGGACTATCATAGACCTGTATGCTCAACTGACTGCTTGGCATCCCTGAGCAAGGTGGGTATGGGGGTCCATCACAAGTACTGTGTGAGCAAAGCCCTTAGACCTTCTTCCAGACAATGGCTCCTTCCTTGACTGCTGCCCATCTCAAACTGGCATTTCCTTTTCTTGATTTCTTTATTCATTAAGGACTCTCCACATGTATGTTTTTCCATGTTAGGAGATTCAGAGTTGTGGTTTGTATGAGGAATGTCCCCTGTATGTCATGGCAGCCTGCAGGCAGGCATGGTGTTAGAGAAGAAGCTGAGAGTTCTACATTGATCAGCAGGCAGCAGGAGTCTGTGCTCTACTGGCCAGACTTGAGCTTAAAGCCCTGCTCCACAGTGACACACTTCCTCCAACAAGACCACACCTACTCCACAAGGCCACACCTAATAGTGGCACTCCCTATGGGTCAAGCGTTCAAATACTTGAGTCTGTGGGGGCCATTCCTAGTCAAACCACCACGTAAACACAAAAGGTGTGGGAAGAAGAGCACTGTTGCTGGACTAGGGGCTGGTGGAGAGGGTGTGAGCTCAACTTTCCCATCATGGTGCATCACTGGGTTTGATCCCCTGGGGGTGTTCAAATTCCATGAATTTTACAGTCCCATTAGTTCATTGGTCAGGGCCAGGTTTTCTTAGCTATTGCTTTATAATAAAGAAATACTGCAGATAAAAGTTAGTATACAAAGGATATATATTAAATAATGTCTTTATCAGAAACACAGTCAAACAAGGTTAGCTATTGGTGGTTTGACAAATACGATGAGAGGCTCATGGGAACTCAACTCTGGGTTGTCCTTCAGAGCAGCAGCTCAGTTCTCATTACAAACAAAATTTCAAATAGTTATGAGCATCGATGGTACACTCCCATCTCTATATCATATCTGCCTGTATGTGGCCTGGCATGGGAAACGCAGGGTCTACAGTTGGAGTTCTAAGACAGTCAGTACTACACAGAATAACCCTGTCTCAAAAACAAATAGCCTCCAGATCAAAGAACAATGAAATGTATGTTACTTTAATGCCTTAGAGCCAAGATGCCTAGTATCTAAAGATTTACTTATATTATTATTTTTATTAATTTTTTCATACAATATATTCTGATATTTTTATTGTATGTATTTTATCTCCTCCCCCAGATCATCTCCTTTTTTAATGTATGTGTCTGCCTGCGTGCATGTGCCCCTGGAGGCCAGAAGCAGGCATTATGTCTCCTGGCATTGGAAGTACAGTCAATTGAGAGCCACCATGTGGGTGCTGGGAATTGAACCTAGGACTCTGGAAGAGCAGCACTGAGCCATCAATCCAGCCCTGACATCCACCATCTAACCTGTCACAATGAGTGTCTGTTGACATCTTTGTGTTTGGAGCCGAAGGAGTTAACCTCATGGAAAACTGTCTTTTAGACAAGTCCACCTCATGAAGCATGCGTTCTACTGACAGAATGAATCATGAAAATCCACATGTATTTTACAGAAAATAGGAAATATTTAATGTATATAAATTTAATCTGCCTTGGCAATTATTTACAACTGATGATTGATACCAACAATTGAGGTAAAAATATACATGAGGTATAAATATAATATTTAAATGCAAATATTTTATTTCCATTGGCAAGATAACAATGAGTAAAATACTGTGGTATTTGACAAACAAGCTCGATGCATCATTTTCCTCCCCTCCCTTTCCTTTATTTTAAAGATGCACCTTGTGGTTAGTAGAGGTGATGTGATTAGTACGTGCATAAAATTGAAAAGTCAGGTTAGATGGGAGGGACCGGGTGAGAAATACAATCGTATCATCTTATTCAGTTTTAAGCGATTCCTTGGGCCCTTGTTTCTCACCGTGTATCCTTGCAGCCAGCATCCTGCATCCCTCGGGCTCATTAGAAATACAGAATGCCAGGGGCACCCAGACTGCCTGATCAGGGCATTTTCACGAGGTCTCCAGGTGCCTGACTCCCAGTGCATGCTAAGCAAGGATGGTCCTTGGGAAACAATGCTATTCATCCCGGGGTGTCCACTCTGCTTTCAAATGCATAGTACCCGTCTCTGGAGTGGGAACAGTGTTGAGCAGTCTAAGCTCCATTGATGATCTTGCCAGTACATAAAAAGCCATCCAGCATGGCTATATGATGTAATGGCAAAAGTGGATTTGTCCAGTCCACAGAGCACTGCCCAAATGTGACCCCGGGTCTGACTGACTTCCAGGTAGACACAAGAATGAAAACTTCCTACCCTGATTTTTCTTGTGCCACACCAGATATACAGAAAACATATTTATTCCTCCCAATAAAATGATTGCACACCACAGACAAAAGAAAACATCGCTTTAGTGTATGTAATAATACAACAACAACCACCCTGGAAACACACATTTGTTTTTTGCTTTTCTTCCAACACCAGTTGCTGAATTAGGATATCAGTCTCTGCCTAGACAACCAAAGAAAATCTCTCCTGGAAGCCAGACATAATAAGTTATCTCTCTGCAGTACAATAAAAATAGCAAATCCATTCTCACGTGGTTCAGGAATGCTAGTTTGCTCCGTCTGTACAATAATAAATAAGGCGAGGGTCAAACACATGGGTGCTGGTGATGAATAATGAAGAAACATGGGGTTGATACATCTGCCTGTAATTTTTACAAATACCTAATGATTAGTTTTGGTCTTTTGTTAGTTTAAAACCCTGTCTTTTAGATTGCAAGATTTTTTTAATGGATTAGATTTTAAGAGCATCATATATAGGATACTGTGAATTCCCTGAAGCCATGATGACCCTGGACACTTGATGGACCATCATCTCACTTTGGCTGGTGTCCAGAGTCAAGGTCAGTGCAAGAACACGTTGAATAACTGTAGCCATATAGGCCACTGGTCAAATAGATGGCTCGACAGCATTATGACAGCTGTCTGAGTCTCAAGAAGGACATGGGGCTCCCTTTGGCTTTGTGGACGGGCTCTGCTGTTCACCTCTATGTAGGGGTGGGTGGTGCCAGTTCTGTTTCACTCCCTGGTACCAACTTCAGCGGTCACCTGACATCTCACTCAACTTCACAGAGTGGTCCCAGGGGCAACACAAAATCTAGCCTTGGATTTAGCAATAAACTCTTATCTGCTGCTTTATGTTAAGGAGAAGCACATTTCATTTCACTCAATTTATCTCAGCATTCCACTCCAGTTTTTAAACATCAGAAATAAGAGGCCAACGAGTGGAAGAAGCCTTTAATATTATTGTTCTTTGGCTAGCTAATCTTTGGGTTAGCATGGGCAGACTGACAGATTATACATTTCATGCTTTGGTGTTTGGCAGCAGGCTCTGCTCGGCTGGCAGGACAGGAGGGACACAGGGCCTACAGCAACCTGGGAAGTGCCATGTGAGGAGACTCACAGAGTCAGACACTTAACTATATATAAAACCAGTATTTTACATATGTACAGCAAAGGGAGATATACACACATATACAAATGCTACAGTACATTTATTTACAGCCAAACCACGCTTCTTAGAAGCCTTTAAATAGCAAATCAGGCAATGTATAAGGAATAACCCATTTAATTTTAAGCAACATAGATAAATGTCCAAGACATATATTAGTAGGGAATAGCCATCTCCAGGTAGGTTAGGAACATCCTCGATGGCCTCTGGTTACCACTGGCACAGTGCTTCATTCTCTCCTTGTCATCTTTGCACTCCACACACCTCCAGTGTCCCTGAGTTTGACGTCACACTGGGGAGAGCTCAGATTTTTGTTTCTGGACCCTCAGCAATGAGAGGCTGGAAAGAGTTTCTGATTCTGGCAACTTCTGCAGCGCAGAGGTGTCCGAAGCCTTTACTGTACCATTCTGGGGAGTGACCCCTGCAGAGAGAGAGCAGAAGAACTTGGGAAACCTACCAGGGGATAGGGCTGTCCTGGGCTTGTGTTATCAGTACCCTGGGAACAGCTTGTGGCTGCAGCCTTCAGGGTTTGAGGACCTCATTCTGTCACCCAGTGTCTTGTCACCAAGCATTCTGTCTTTACAGTTCATCAGGTCCTTCAAAATGATACCAACTTCTCAAAGTGAACACTGAATCTAGAATTCACCAAAAACCTACAACAAGCTGGGTAGTGGTGGTACATGTCTTTAATCCCAGATCTCTGTGAGTTCCAGGCCAGCCTGGTCTACAGAGTGAGTTCCAGGACAGCCAGGGCTACACAGAGAAACCCTGTCTGGAAAAACCAAGACCAAAACCAACCATAAAACCCCACTGAATTTACATCTCCCTCAGCGCAGAATTCAGTGTTAGCATGTTGAATGGCTTGAAGTGTTCAGTTCAATTTAAACTAGGAACAGAGGAGGGAACAGGTATAAAAGAAACACAAGAGGGCTTGAAGAAAAGGCTCAGCCAATAAAGAGTTTGTTGTGGGAACCTGAGAATTCTTTGCACCTATGAAAAAGTGGGGTGAGGCAGAAACAGGAAGGTTTTTGAGGCTCCATGGCCAGCCCATCTAGCCAGTTAATGAGTGCCAAGTTCAGAGAGAGACTGTGCCTCTCTTCCCCTCCAGGCACCCAAAGGGAGCAACTGAGGGAAAGACCTAATAGAACTGTGTGCACATGTGATATGAACATGTACACACTTATACTACATACACATGAATAAAATAAGAAAGAAACACCAGTCTCATGTTTACTGAGCCTGATGTCCTTGTGTGTCCTTACTGTGTGTTGATTACAGCACATGGGCACACTTCTCTGACTGCTAAGTTTGTCTGCTAGGGCTTGGGTGCCCCTTTCATCATCTAAAATATATTACAGGTGGCTTTAATGGATAGTTACCTCACTGTGTCAGAGAAGAAATGGAAGTGTTTTGGGATTTTCATTCTAACACTCTGTTCCTTGATTCTAAAGACCATCATTCCACCCTATTCCACAAGGTTGACTTGCTGGCCTCCATGAGTGACCATGTGCTATTTGGGTGACTGTAGAGAAACAATATGTTCTTGATCATTGTTGGATATTTTCATAGCTTGACTTGGTGATTCTGCCATGTAGACATATGTCAAAAAGGTCTTGTGTATGCCACAAACACTATGCCATTACATGTTTGTGAAAAGGAATGAATAAATTAGGAACAAAAAGGAAAACAAAGAAGAGCAAAATTCTAAAGGCCAAATGTCAGCATTTCACGAAATGGAAAGATGAGAGTGTATGGTCCTCTGTGGAAGCTGTTCATAGTGGTGAGAAAACAGATGGGCGGGGCAAAAAAGCAGAGTGACAAGCAGGGTTGAGGTGCACACACCACATGAGCTAAAGCTTCTGAGAACTTGGTCTGCCAACACTCAATGTGACCACTTACTTCAGGTCTATTCTGCAGATGTGGGTCAGCCTGGACTTTCCAGAACCGCATGGTTCTATCAGGTACTGAGAATCCATTACCACTGCCCGCACGCCGCCTATCAGCTGGGCTTCTTCATGCTCCACAGACAGGGACACCAGGGTGCACATTCCTTTGGGCAAGTCAGTCTTCCAGGTCCTGGAGCCAAACAAGCCATGCTTCAGAGTGGTGGCAAGAGAGACAGGAGACCCCGCTCACACAGCTAAATTCACACTTAAAGTCTGCCTGTCCCAAACCTGGGCTATAGTGCCGATGTTAAGTACCTGAATTAAGCCAATGGTTACCATGAGCTTGTGTGAAGTTTACAAAGTGAGGTTCAAAGGGTGGACATCAGCTCAGAGGGTGGAAGCTCCCAGACCTGGGTTTGGAACCCCAAACGGAAGCGCCATCCTGGTCCTGAAGAGGCCCCTGCCTGTTATCAAAAGGCTACCATTTAGAATAAGCACTTATTCACTCAAATGTTCTGTTTGTCTATTGAGTACATCCATGGGCTGGGCCCGAGAAGCCATGAAAGACATGAAGATGCATACAGCCTTGGAGGAGAGACAAGCAAGTCTAAGAAGAGCCCTGAAAACAGCGTGGGAGGTGCAGTGTGCGTCTGTGCAGAGCTGGGATCAGGATGGGGCCAAAGAGGAATCCAGGGAAGGCTTCCTGGAGGAAGTGATGAAGGCTTTAGCAAACACAGGATCTGCTGATCCTAGAAATTGAAGCTGTGTCATCCTGATAGCTTACTTCAGATAGTTGAGGAGCTCTTGAGCGGGAGAAGTAAACAGTTGATTTGAGTTTGGATGGAGAGGTAGGAAGGTCATTACAGCTGAGGAGAGGAGAGCTTTCTGACTGGTCTATGGATGGCATGAGCCCCCATGGATGCCGTCAGATGCGTGGCTTTTCCATGCAAGCAGCTTTCTGTGGTAGGATTGCTCTATCCTGCAATGTCTTTTGCCGTGCTATGAACTGGAGCTCTCCAGACTGCTCGGCATCCAGACTTAAGGGCAGAGCACATACACATCTACTCTCTACATACATCACTATTTCAGATGGTTTCCATATAAGCAACAGAAACAAGCTAAGATACTTGATGAGAAATTGAGTATAAGGAAGTCTGGTGTGTCAGACAGAGTGCATCTTAACCCTGTGAGTCTCGCCTCCCTCTTCCCTTTTCTTCTTCTTGAATCAAATTTAGGGAATTAATTTCTGTTTGCATGAATCAGGCCTGGTGCATGGCAGGCTAATCCTCTGTGCTGCCAAATTTTCCCAGAGTGCCATGGTCCATCTACTTCTACTTTAAGCCTTGGGCTATATTGAAATTCCATCCTTACCATCTCCTCACATCATTTATTCCCTCTGAGATAAGTAAGCTTGAATCCTTTTCTTACTATTTATTGACTGTCCCCAGAGACTATAAAGAGAAGGGGACAGCTTAGCAGGTGAAGGGACATAAGCATAGGGAACTGAGTTCAGTCCCTAGTGTTGACATAAAAAGCCAGGCATGGCAATGCACACTTGGAATCTCATCACTGGGGATGTGGAGGCAAGATGTTCGCTGGAGCTTTCTGGCCAGTTGGCTTAGCCTACTAGCCCCAGGTCCCAAAGAGACCTGCTCCTGCTCCTGCTGCAAAAAAAAAAAAAATGAAGTAGATGGCTCCTGAGGAACAATACCCAAGATTGACCTCTGGCCTAGGCACACATGTACAGGCATGTACAGACACAGACACACACACACACACACACTTCAAACACACACACACACACACACACACACACACACACACACACACACACACACACACACACACACTCTGAGAGGAGATCATGATGAGCCTGCCCACTACGGGCATCCTCAGAGCCAGAAGCTGTGACTGGTATAAGGTCTGATTGAATGATCTATAATAACTAGAAGGATGGTAGGATCATGGTGGAGATGGAATGAGGAAAATTGTCTGCAGGAGACTCCCCATCTCCTCAGCTTCCATCCTGGACAACTCTGTTTTCTGCTTGTGAGTTGGAGGGTTACATTTTAATGCCATAAGATGAGTGATGCCTTAATAATGGCCGGAGGTACCCCAGCTAATGGTCTACATTCTCTATCTGTGTATGCTGGGATATACACAGAGAAACAGACACTTAAAAGTTACAGTCCCAAGGATCCAAACCAAATGCACAAAGGACTTATGAACAGTCAACTAGCTTTGGTTTGCCCTCAGAGTTCACGTCAGAAGGCAATATACACGTGGGGATTTCTCTGGAGAAGCCTCTTACACTGCCGATCCCCGAAGAAGAGATTGTTCATTCGTGTTTTTAATAAAAAGGATATATTGCTCTAATTACATTTTGTTCGTGGTCTTAACTCTTCCCCAACTCCTGCTCTTGCTGGTGAAATGTGCATTTCTGCTGTGCAAACTTCCTGGGATGGGCTAAGCATACCACTCCAAGGCCAAAGGGCAGGGGTCTGGGACTACTAAACCCTAAGCACACCAGAAACAGTATTTCAGCTGTAGACATAGGGCTTATCGGTAATTTCCATGCATGGCAATTAGTTGCAAATGTGTGAGGTCACATACAACTCCATCTTCAAGTTCTCTAACATGAAGACCTGCTTTCTTCCCCAGAGAGAAAGACAGAACCAGGAGGAAAGCCAAATGGCTTTGATTTGCATAATTTGGCAGACAAACCGGACCAAGGAACAGCAGCTATTCTGGGCCTCTGTTCTGAGGATGTGAGTGATATTCATGGCTAGTAAACTGTGTGCACCACAAGAGAGGGGCCATCAGAGAGCCCAGGCACAGCTGTGATACTGATGAATGCAGCAAAGTCGGAGGGGAGTGAGCTTAGAGCCCCAGTGCAGGCTGGGACGACTCGGAGAAGTGCTTCCAGTGGCAGCTCTCATCTTGCCTTGGAGCAGGACCTCAACCACCATGGAGTCAGGCTTACCTGAGAACCACAAAGTCTCTGGAGGGATGTGGGGCCATGCTGTTCAGCACGTACTGGTAGATTTCTGTTTGTCTGTCCAAAGTTTCCACCACTTTCCACTGCACGAAGTCCTCATCCCACAGGTGGCGCTCCCTCAGCACACGATTCAACACCACGGAGGGTGGCGCCTCCACCTCCACAGACGCCTTCCACAGCTTCAGCGGATTCCCGTCCCCCACCTTGGCAAAAACATGAGCAGGAGCTGAAGAGATGACTCGGGACCACCCAGACCTACCCAGCTGTGCTGGGCATTTGGAACCATAGCTGGTTATATAGAGTGAGCCAGCCAGTCATGCTGCAACCAGACTTAAAATGCAAATACTTCAGTCCTCAAGCTGATAAGGACAGGAATGATAATCAAAACAGCTATAGCCACAAACACACTCAAATGGCATGAGCCAGACTTGCTCTACTCCACTTGACTTTTATGTAGTCCTTCTTTTCGCTAGCGAAAAATACGGGGCATTGATTTTCCTGGCATCGCACAGAAAAGGGGCACAGACCGACTCAGGATTCCCGCAGCCGTCCAGGCTCCGATGAGACTGCTGTCCGTGACCTTTGAATGGCACATGGGCCTTACCTGTTCTCACAGGTGCCAAATCCCATGGTTAAGCACACATTCTGCAGTCGAAGCAAGTCTTACCTTTTTGAAAGCAAGGTCTGTGTTGTCTGGGCTGGGACAGGTGACCCATCCTTTGAATTTCTCCCGTGCTTCTTTCTGGAGCCCTTGGATGAGATGCTCCAGGTATGTGTGGAAAGTTGCCCCGCTCTCTGCCAGCTGTGTTCCCAAGTCTTCCAGGCTGGGTGTGTGGATTTCAGCCTCCAGGTAGGAGCTCCGGGACTGGAGCACCATCTCATATGGAACCTAAGCCAGTGAATGCATGAAAGAGCAACTCAGTGAGCTAAAGAAATCCTCAGGCTGACAGAGGAGACAAAGCTATCTCTCTACAGTCAAGGGCGAGCATGGTCTGTAGTCCTTCTGAGATCAGGTATAGGGCTGGGAGGGACCTTCCTAAAGTTAGGAAACACAAATAGGACTTGTGAGCTTATGCTTATTATTCAAAACACTGGGAAGCTTTCCTGATCATGTGTTCCTCTTTTCTTTTTATTCCATTTGGCAGGAGTGGGTGCAGACAACGTCGCTCATTCACACACATTGACACACTGAGGGAAAACACAGCTCTGACTCAGACATGGCTTCACGGTTTGCAGTACAGCTCTCCCACTGACAAATGCCAATGTTGCCATAGAGAGTATGCCAGGTGTCCCATCCACTTGCCTCTTTAACGCACGTATGGCAGTAGTCTTAGGCTGTCAATTATTCTAGTGACAAGGATTACTCAGTCATACTCAAGCACACATGCATACACATACACAGAGAAAGAGACAGATAGAGAGACAGAGGAGGACCCTAATCAAGTCTTGAGGTAAAAATCAAATGTCATGTAATTGGCCAACGGGCCTTAAACCTGACAAAGGAAGACAATTCACCTGTCTGCATGAAAAACTGTCATCATGGTGGCTGTCAAAGCCTAGCTTGCACACTGTTGTCATCGTAAGATGGAGAGCAGAGAGATAAGAATCCTAAGCGAGCATCCACTCACTCCCAGCCTGCTACTAGTTCTAAGACCTCACCTCAAAGAGCCGGTTGCATTCTGTGATCATGTGGGCGAGCCCCTGGGCTGCAGCTTGATTGTCATTGAGGTCCTTCAGATCTGGCTTCCCGGTGGCGTATTTCTTTTGGATGACTCTGTAATTGAATATGAATATGCTAAGCAGATCCCCAGCCGGAGTGTGTTGGGATACCGGGATTGTCCCATCTGTTTGCTGTTTATCTCCAGATGCTGCCCAGACCCCAGGCTTTCTCCTTTCCAAATAAAAGCCAATGACCACACATCGTTAGATGCTCCAAGGCAGGCTGGCAGGCTGACAACTCACAACCAAAAGCCATGGAAAAATACAAAGACAGGAAGAGCTATAGGTGGAAAAATTATTATCTTTTCCCCTCCGTTTGAAACCACTCAACTGCAGGTCCCTGTGATCTGTTTTTTTTTTTTTTTTTTTTTTTTTTTTTTTTTTTTTTTTTTTAATAGAGCCTTTTAAAACCAACAATTGTAAAATTCCTTTTTATGTATGTTCCTTCTCCTTCCTGCTCAAATACAATAAAACAAAACTTCTCGGGCTTTCTGGATCTCAATAAAGTTCACAGGATTACCCCAGTAATGCTAAGTGCCCCAGCCCAGGAATGAGGGATCTTCGTAGTCTTCTGTCAGAACTGTACCACCAGTCTAATTTTACTTCTTAAGAAAATGGACCTTGGGGGCCGGAGAGATGGCTCATTGGTTAAGAGCACTGCCTGCTCCTCCAAAGGTCCTGAGTTCAATTTCCAGCAACCACATGGTGGCTCACAACCATCTATAGTGAAATCTGGTGCTCTCTTCTGACTTGCAGACATACATGCAGAACACTGTGTAGATAATAAATAAGTCTTTAAAAAAAAAAAAGAAAAAAAAAAAAGAAAATGGACCTTGGCCGGGGAGACCTGGCTTGGGAACGACTGCCAATGATGAGGAAAACTCACCTTGGTGAGCTTTCTTTCTTCGCTAAGTTAAGGTGAAAGAGGGAGGGGGCCAGACACACGGCCAGATTCATGGGCGTCATCTGGTTCTCTTTCACCAAGTTCACTACGTCGTGGAGGAAGCACAGGAGTGTCTGCAAGGCCTCCCTGTTCTCATCCGCCAGCAGGAGTATGGCTGCCTGCACAGCCTGCAGCCTTTGTTCTTTGGGGACATCTGAAGAGAAGTGGGCATCAGGTTGTTAGAGGGATAGCAGAAAAAGCCAGAAGGTGAGATTGCATGAGCTCCCCTTCTGGGGACAGACAGAAGAAACTCAGAGACATCAATAGTAGCTAACCTGAGAAGTCACATTGAGGGGCAGAGCTGGAAATCAAAGCTCATCCCAGCAAACTCCAGAACCCACCTGAGTGTCTCAAAGGTACTTAGAGCAAAGCCACCACCCGGTGTGAGCATCAGGCTCTTCTGTCAATCTTATTGTTTATTTTTAGTGGAAGTTGGTAATGGATTGGGGCTCTGTTAACCTGGCTTCTCTCTTACTCACCCTCTTTGCCAGGCAATTCCAGAGACATACACGGCTAGGTGGGACACACTTGTGAAAGTTACTGGATAAAAGGACAAAGACCTGGCCTTTCCTCACCACAGTAGAGCCCTAGGCCATGCTGCTGGCATGGTACAATGAACCATGAGTAATGAGTGGGTGAGTTGTTTGCTCTTGGCCACCCCGAGGGAGTCAAGGCAAGCATGGTAGATCCTTCCTGTCCTACAAGTCATCAGGGCTCAGTTTGGAGAAGGTACTGACTGAGTAGTCACTCAGTGAGTGTGTCACCTGTTGGATGATCTTAGGATCATGGGCTTTGAGTTGTGCTTGGGGAACAGGAACCAGGTGACCTACAGTTCTGGGGAGTGAATGACATCTTAATCTCCCTTTGAAGTTGGCTCTTGAGGAGGTGGTGGGCCTTGATTATATAGGCTTGAGAAGTGAATAGCTCAAAAACACAAAGTGGAAAAACAGAAAAATCACAACAAATTGTATTTTGCTGCCCTCCTGCCTATGTTTGGTTCATGATCATTTAGGATCGCTCCAAAGACACAGCCAGGAGCATGTTGGTGAGTCTGGCTGTCTTCCTTAAAGAACCACACCCAGAATCAGAGGTCTCCATAGCAGGGTGTTTGCTCTCCTGAGGTGTGGGGCAGTGTGCTCATGACAACCCCTTGAACTTTCAGTTGTGCCTTACAGTGTACACACGATCTCACTCTACACCACTGTGTGTTGGATGCATTATAAAAGAAAAAAAGCACACTCTCAGATATCTAATACCTGTTGAGGTGCATGATAGAAAAACGTTGGCACTGGCTGCGCTAGTGATGCAGTGTAACTTCCTGTTTGGGTCCCAGGAGGCTGGAGGATATACCATCCTGCGAACTGTCTGTGCTGGGCTCTCCTTGCCCTCTCTAGCAGAAGGCCAGCAAACCTTCATTTCTTGGAAAGAGTAACCACATGCTCCGTGTTCACCCTGTATACTGCATATTGGCAAAAGATGTGTGACTGGGTTTTCTGGAGAAGAGCATTTGTGTCTTAGTGACAGTGAAGCTGGTGTTTTCTCCCTTGCTAATGCTGAAACCAGTAAAACCAATGATGAAAGATCACTGCATACCGCCGAACTGCTTGTAAGGCCGCTGGGGAAGAGGTCTCCTGTATGTAAGCATTATCTAACCTCAGCAGGCCAAAGTCACTGGTCATGTGCATATGCTATCTCTACTTCTTCTCTGCTCCTTTGTCTATCTGAAGGTACATTTGTTCTGGATTCTATTGGCTTTGTTCACCATTATACTACACTTTCTGTTACACAGGACATTTTGTTACATAGGACATTCCAGCCTCTTTCTTGATTCTTGGGAGATAGCTTTAAATGTGTCTTTGTGAGTACCACAGAATTTATAACCATGTGGATGGTGATCTGTCCCTCACAGCCATCATACTCTCCTGACTGAACAGCTGTCTCTCTACTCTCTCTCTCCTTTCCGTTTCTATGTCCTTCCCCCCCCAGATCCCTGCTCCCTGCCCCTCCACCACCAAGCCTGAAGACCTTAGGGTTGTCTCGGATCCCTCACCCTCTCTCTCTTATATGTTGGTATGATTATGACCTTTTAGTGACCCATACCACACTGTGCTCAAGTTAACCATCTGTCAGAGGCAAGGGCGGGTAACACAGCAGAAGACAGAGCTACTTCGGGGAACTGGGAGGAAGCTGGACCTTGGTATCAGCTTGGATACCTGCCCATGGATTCTATTTGTTGGGACCCCATGAGTGTGCCAGTTCCCTACGCTTCTGTTCTTGTCTATTTGGCTCCTGTTATTCAGCAGGTCCCGATTCCCAGAGCCAGAATCAGTTCTGATGAATTTTCACCCTTGTGACCAACTGAAAAGTCTTTCTTCCCTTCCCTTCTTCACTAAAAATACACACTCCTTTCGGTTATGGGCTGCTGGGGGGTAGGGGAATCCTCCTCCTCCACCACACTGATCCAGGGATGAACCACCTTGGCTCACACCAAGGGTGGTCCTGGCTCACACCAAGAGTGGTCACTTGGTTCCTCTTTCCATTGACTGCTTTAGGTTCATTGGAAACCAGTTTAGGCTAATGAGACCAGTGATGATGATAGGAGTTTTTGTGAGGTCCATGTTCTCCATGAGAAGAGATACATGCCCAAGGAGATGCTTGGCTCTCTCTGGTTGTCTCAGAGTGTGGCTTTATGGAAGTGTGGTAATTCTGTAAGTTGTAGCAACTGTACCGAAACTGAAATACTCCTTAAGTACACTTAGAGTGGCAAAGGCATTGATGTCCTAGCATCACTAGACTGTGGATTTAGCCAACACTGGGATGGTTTAATTTCACTTTTCTTTTTGTCACACTTACTAAGAAAATGTTCATATTGTTAAATAACTATTTGTGTGTGAGAGATTGATTCTGCTTTGGGCATTGTAACTAAGTCTTTCAATACCCAATGGTTCTTCAATTCTTAGCAGATCAAGTATAAAACCCTTGTCTTAGTTTTTAATGCTACTTTTGTGTGGCCTTGGCCTCCTAGGTTATCAGTGTCCCATGGTGTAGTACAGGACAAATCCCCTGCACACTTTTGACACAAGCTCCTTGCTTCATCCAGAATGTGTTCCTTCATAATGACTTCCAGTTGTCATTGTTTTCCACTAAGTTCCCAATTCTCACCCCAACCTTTGAGGACCGTCTTTGTGACTTTTTTTTTTTTAACCGATGCTCTCTAACTGCATGGCAGTCATTTATGCTCTGGTCTCATCTTCCTCTAGCCTAAGATCCCTAAGAACAGACAGTGAGTGAGTGTCACACAGTCTAAGCTCTGCAGTGCAACACAGCCCTCTGTAAATGTCTGCTTGGATAGAAGGAAGCCCTTCTTCAGTCTGGCTTCTTGGCTGTAAGTCTGGACCAGAGTCAAAAACATATTTATCACTTGGAAATAATTTAGCTTTAGCCACAGATAGTGTCAACTTCAATCCAAAGACTGATGAAATGTAAATACTATATCCATAAGGAGGTTCAATTAAAGAACAGAGTGTGACCTCTTCCAGCAATGCCACCATGAGCATTTTTGGAGGGGGCTACAGTATCATTAATTCAGCTTAACCTATTCACTTTGACAAAATAATATTTATTTAGTGTGTCATTCCTTTATGCTGTTTGGATAGGTGGTACTTATAGTCTTCCCTGAATTTGTAATCCATTTCTTAAACACATTTGGCACAGTGTCTATAGCAGGGATCTTCAGATTGGATCAATTCCATCTCAGGATCCACTTGAGGCATATTTTGAAGTAAAAATCAAAGTCTGTGGGCCAGAGTCATTTCCCTCTAAAAACTGATACTTGGGCCATTATGCTCATTGCCAATTTGTAATGATATCATGGTCCTACTGAGAAAAGACTGGCATCCCCTATCTAATGCTTACCTTTGTAACTACATTTAGTAGAATAGGCTTTGGAATCAGTTGGTCTTCTCATTACTATGTTAACTATAGTGGCTTTGTAAAGAATTACTGATTTAATGTCACCTCAAATCTTCTAAGTGAAAATAGAAGCTAGCTGGATTAAGGTACAACCTTGATTTGGTATGCTTACGTTTCACCAGTTAAAATACATCTGATTTCTTGTTTGTTTCCAGTCTTTATAAGACGTTTGACCTTGAATCTACTATCAAATTTTGTATCAGAGAATGTTTACCTTCCAAAAATTAGATTTAACACACACACACACACACACACACACACACACACACACTCTCTCTCTCTCTCTCTCTCTCTCTCTCTCTCTCTCTCTCTCTCTCTCTCTCTCTTTCGGATCCTTTTTTTGTTTTAGATATATTGGAAATATATTGGGAAATTAGCTTGAGACTGCACTAAGTAGGTGTATACTGATATTGGGAAGGCATATCCAGACACATACAAAGGCTACTTCTGAAGAGGTAACTTTTATACACTTCTTCATAGGTTCAAGAACTATTTGTACAATTAAAATTCCATCTCTTACCGGGCTGGGGATGTGGTCCAGCAGCTAAAAGGCTGACTATTTTTACAGAGGAGCTGGGTGCGGGAAACTGCGCCCACATGGTGGCTTACAAATCTCTGTAACTCCAGTTACAGGGTATCTACTGCCCTCTTCTGGCCTCTATGAGCATTGCATTCATGTGGTACACATACACTCATGCAGACACACACACATACATAATATATAAATCTTGAAAATTCCATCCTTTGACAGTTGGGCATACTGTGTTATTGTTACTTACACTGGTAAATGTGGAGGAAGGTCTCGCTGAGCTTGTTGGTGAACAGGGGCTCAGGGAGGTCCCGGAAGAACTGCTTCACCATGTCTGCCACATCATATGCAGATTGGTCTTCGTAACTCACATTCTCAGGGAAGTTCTCATTCATTTGGCGTAGAGCAAGGATTCGAGACTTCACTCCTGACTTTCGGAAAAGACCCACCTGAAATGAGTCACAGGGATGTGTAAGCTAGGTCTCCTTTCTCCTCATAACTTCTTCCTCAGCAGGGTAGGGACCCTGTATGTGAAGAGGTGGCCTGGGGCCCGGACTGGATGAGCTGGAACTCCATCTACCTTCACAATTCTGAATTTCCAGTATAGCTACTTTAGGTAACAGCCAAGCATTGACTCCCTCTTCTATCAAATAAAGACATGAATATTATCTCACCCCACAGAGCTACCGTGGAAACTGAATGTGCAAACACGCATGGGATTTGCTTTGAGAGTTGTAAACTTTTGTAACAATGGATGGTGTAATTGTATTCATTTTTTCAACAAATATCTGTATAAGGCATTCTTATATTAGAAGTCATTAGTGAGCAGAGAAGAAAAAAAAATCTCTTTTCCCTTAACATCTGAACTTTTGTGGGAGAATTTTGAAATGTCCCCCTCATCTGCCCCATGCTGTGAATTTTGGTCAAATGATGTGCTCAGAGAATGGAAGTGTCTCAGAGATGTAGGCATATCCATCCCTTTGGGGAATGAGTTTATGGGGAATGGGCTCCTAAAACAAAATGTTTTCCACACATATTCTGAGTACCTCATTTGATTTTCTTTTTCGAAATACTTGGCATCTGTGACGTGTGTTTTTCACATTATGCCTGGAGCTTTACATGACCAATGGGGGCAGGACATGGCTCATTCCTGGGTGGCTTTTTGTCTATAGTATCATATGTAGGAAATGTAAAAGAAACAGACAGTTAAATAAGAAAAAACTATTTTTTTTAAAGCATGAAGAAGCTGCTTGGTAGAAATCCCGATTCTTCCAGGGTCACACTTCATGAAATCCAAGTATGTGCACAGGTTGTACCTAATGCTCACAATTGTGTCCTACCCATCAACCGCATTGCTTTAAGTCAGCTGATTGCATAAGCTGTGAGGCTGAGCTCTGCACTCAGAGGCATGGACCACTGCTGCCTGTGTGTGCACACTTAAGTGCAGCTGTGCACCCTCCTGTGGAAGGAGACCTTGATCTTTTCTTTTCACCTTGGCTAAAGACTATGGGTTATGAGGCTATTTTCTGGAGACCCCAGACCCATTTCTTACATCCCGTCACAGCCTTTCATCTTTAGCAGTTAGACCCCTTGCTGCCTGATAAACACAGTGTAATGAGCATAGTAACAAATGCCTTTTAGCCAGGTGGTGGTGGCACATGCTAGAACTTTGGAGGCAGAGGCAGGTGGAGCTCTGTGAGTTCCATACCAGCCTGATCTACAGAGCTAGTTCCAGGACAGGCTCCAAAGCTACACAGGGAAACCCTGACTCAAAAAGCCAAAAAAAGTTTTTTTTAGATATGTAAGAACATCTTAGGAACCCCACTATACCCAAGGCTGCACCTGATAACCAGAACTCAGTGACATCACTCACCCAAGATAACCAGACCATCCTAGAATCACATGACACCCACTGGACAGTCTATAAGCAGAGACCAAGAGCAATGCTCTGCTCTGCACTTCTGCAGAAACATCACCTTGATCTGCCCTGTTGCTGGAGAGTCTCCCCTGATCAGGACCCTCAAATCAGAGACTTCTGTTAGAGACTGGACCTGCCCTTCAGCTAAGATACGTCATATATGTGAGCAACCTTGGGGAGATAGACTTAGGACTGTGGTTAGGTATTTAGACTGTGAACCTTGTGTGATGACCCCCAGCATAATAAAACATAATTTTTGTTATACTAGGCATGTTATACTACCTATACTAACTATTGGTGTCTACCATCTTGCTTGTGCCACATAGCAATAAGACACCAAAAAGGTAAGGACCTTAAAAGGGACAAATGAGGTGAGCAGAGCCCTTATGGAACAATGAAGATCCTGAGAGGAACCAGATAGATAAAATTCAGGTGCCTCTAAGGGGTCCTCTACCTCAGACTTGCCCTATCTGAATCACAGCTGAGCTTGCCTGGGCTTAGGTACATGAGCATGGAGTTCCCAACACCCCACCAGCCTCTCAGTTTCTGCTCTCCATTCTCCTCGCTCCCCAGTGACACACAGACTAGCGCATTTCTTTGGGAACAAGGTGGAACAAGGTGGGATGTTCCCGAGAGGCTGGACATTCAATGGCAAGTGGGATCGGCCTTTTCTTTTTCTCAGATACCTGGAGAAACACATGTATATAGCTGCCATACTAACTCTGGTGTCTCTTACTTGTTGCTAGAAATGAAAGCAACAGTATCATCATCATCATCATCATCAAACTACAGGAACAAGAGGCAAGTTCTAAGCCATTAGAGAGTTTGTACATGTCAGCTGCATGTCCACAGGGGAAATTAAACATTGCTAGATCCTTTGGTCATAAAAACAGATTCTTAGGAATAGCTCCTTGCATTCCAGGGCTTATCTCCGATATGCAGGCAGATTGCTATCTAACGTCCTAGTTACTTTGTTCCAAGTTTGTAGTGTCTAGAAAATGCATCTTTAGCTATCTTTGGATGATTCTCCACACTGAATCCGGAGAACATTTATTTTTCCTGCTCTGGCAAGGATTTCAAATTGCTGCACAGTGCACAGGAAGAAAGTATTCATGGTCAGTAGGGATAAAAGAAAAAAGAAAAGAAGTCAAGATAGGTAGCAGGTGCTCGTTGACATGAGATCAGCTTCGATTTGTTTACACCCTTGAGTCTGTGACTTGGGAAGCAGGCTCTGAACTGTGCACACTTCAAACCTGGGCTCCACTGGTCTTTGGAGGCTTGCAGTACCCTGAGGGTGTGTCCTTAATCGTGACTCACAACTCTTTATCCTCATTTAATTGTTTTCCCTCCTAGCAGAGAAACATCAGTGGATGCTTGCACTGCTATGGTCCAGCTCTCCCCTTGGGCCCACTGTGTCCTGTGGCTCTTTGGGAGTCTGCACACATGGACATCCCAATGTTCTCTTTGTGTTGTTTGGGTCCCAAGTTTCTCCTTTCAGAAAACATTGTGATTTCAATTATTTTAAATCTGTCTGGGGCACTCTAGCTGCAGGCTCTGAGGGGCCCCTTCTCCCAGTTCGCAGGCTTTTTTGGAGGGTCATAGAGAATTGATTCATTCTGCTTTCGCTTCTGACAAAAGACCTCTTGCTCCCCCACCCATGCCCCATAGAATGTGGGCGACATTCCTGAGTTCTGTGTGTTGTGTTGGAAGCCTAGAAGAAAAACTGCTTTCCTATACTTAGAAAAGGCAAAGCAGCTTCAAAAAACCAGATCAGATTCTAGGGACAATAGCTAAGAAAGCCCAAGAAATGCAGTCTTCAAGAAGACATCGGTGAGCTGACAAATGAACAGACCTAGCCTAGGAATTTCTGTTGTCCGACTCTCACTGTTTCAGTGTGAATGAGGTGGTGAATTCTCTGAAGTCTGAGGACTGGGTTTTCTGTTAGTGGCAGTCAGCAGTACCTGGACACAGTAAGAAGACTATTTTCCTAAAGAAGTGGCAGTGCTGAGCCAAAAGGAGGGTGTCTCCTATCTACCTGTGAAGGATAGCTAATTGCCAACAGCTTTGCCAACACTAAGCTTTGCTGTGTTCCAAGTAAAAAACAGAAAGTGCCTGCTGTTGAGAGGCCACCCAGGTCCTTGTGAGTGAGGTCAAGTAGGGTGACATGTCTTCCACTTCTATGTCTGTCACAAGTGAGTGGGCAACCTGGGTGGTTGTACCCGGGGTGGAGGCCCACAGTCTCTTGAAGGCTTTGTTGTCAGTTTTGAGGTTTCGCAGAGGTTAGAGCACCTGGTTAGAGCAGAGGACCTGGGTTCAGTTCCCAGTACCCACATGGAGGCTCACAATGATCCATAACTCCACTTCCAGGGACACCCTCTTCTGGCCTGTGTGGACATCAGGCATGCATAGTACACATTGGCACATGCAGGCAAAAACAATCATATACATAAGATTAAAACTGACTAAATCTTTAAAAATTATGAAAAAAAAAACTGACCAAGGAATCCTACATTTTCATGTTGTACTGGGTGCCAGAAATTACACAGCAGGCTTTCTCTTTAAGTGCCGTCAATGCATCTCCAATGCTCCAGTCTGTAGGAGGTGGGCGGGGCTCAGCTGTGAAAAACCCACTGCACAAGCAGCTCTCTGGCCTGTGAGCTCCCCACTGAATGGCAGGACGGGCAGTGAGTGTCCCTTTGAGTCACTTATATTCTTTTTCGCTTTTGTTTTCAATCCCTAAACCCAGCTACCTAAAGGGCTCTGGGAGTAGTTGATATAGAAGGTCCCAGCTCATCCTTTATCGTGTCTCAGGGAGTCAGCTGACAAAGTGATGAGCAGACAGCAGGTAGAGAACACTTCCAGTGAGTGTGAAGTGTCTTCCTCGAGTTATTAGGGTTTTAAATCTTGTGGCTCCATTAGAAGGAGTGGTTGGGCGCTGAGTGCTGCATTAGAATTCAAATTCATCTAAATATTATTAAGTCTCCGCCTTGGCATCCTGTTTATGCTAATCCTTGCAGGGCTTAATGATGTTTATCAGGACGTCCATTTCCACTTCTTTAGAAATGGGCTCAGCTAATGAAGAAAGGTTGGTTTTATTCAGAGAGAGTCATAAGTGGAGTGCGATGGGCAGTGTTGGCTTAGTCTTTCGATGCAGGGGCTTCGAGGCAAGAGCCAGGGGTGACCTATGTTGCATCGGACGGGGTGATTCAGGATAGCCATGAAAGCTCACACAACAAAGTAAGGCTAGTCTTCTAGGCTGCCATGTCTGAATACAAATGGCTGACAATTGAAGGCTAAACCTCTTCATTTCATCTGCAGCCATCTGCACGGGTGAAGATGGATACGCTGCGGTTCCTCATCTATGAACTGCACCTCGCTGGGGAGGAAGAGAAGTAAGGTGCTGGCCCTGTGCTCTGATGGCCCTCTGATGAGTGCTGATACTCCAGGGGAATGTTTAGCCTTTGGGAAGGGACCCCGACAATTGTACACTGTGCTCAATGCCAGAGCCCCCAGGCATTCAGATGATGGTTCCCATAGAATGTAGCTTAAGGGAAGATGCTTGAGGGGAATTCTTGTCTTCCACAATCCTGGGTTGAGCATGCAAGGCCCTGTGCAGAAGCGAATCTTTTCAGTTCCAGTGAGATGCCATTGGCAGAGAAAGAGCACCTGCTTCCTGTCCCCTTCCTAGCCCTGCCTCCTGCTCTGTTTTTTTTTTTTTTGTTGTTGTTGTTTTGTTTTGTTTTGTTTTTTGTTTTTCCAGACAGGGTTTCTCTGTGACTTTGGAGGCTGTCCTGGAACTAGTTTTTGTAGATCAGGCTGGTCTTGAATTCACAGAGATCCACCTGTCTCTGCCTCCCAAGTGCTGGGACTAAGGAGTGCACCACCACTGCCCGGCTTTTCTTTTTTTAATATTTATTTATTAAATATACAGTGTTCTGTCTGCATGTGTGCCTTCAGGCCAGAAGAGGTACCAGATCTCATTACATATAGTTGTGAGCCACCATGTGGTTGCTGGGAACTGAACTCAGGACCTCTGGAAGAGCAGCCAGTGCTCTTAACCTCTGAGCCATCTCTCCAGCCCCCAGCCTCCTGCCCTTTGGGTTCATTAGCTTTCGTGTGCACTAGATCTCCAGGGCAGCCTCCCCTCCCCACTCCTCCAGATTCTCTTGGCATCTTCTTGCGTCTCTAGCTTTCCTTGTTTCTGCTCTTCTGTCAGCTCTCTGCCACCTGGAGGCACTGTCTCTGTGCTCCCCTATATGTGACATGCAAAGGGAGGGCCAGACACAAGGTAGGGCCATTGCAGGGTCAAGTTGGACAGTAGCTATGTCCCTCCAGCTGTTTTCTTGCGACTGACCCAAGAGAAGCACTGCCTTCCCTGCTGGCTACATTGCTCATCTGTGTCCTTGGCGGGCTTTTCCCAGCAAAGCTCTGCACACATTTTTTCCACTATGGGATTCTTGGAGACTGATCCCAGGGAGAAGCCAGTAGTAGGGCTGAATGCCCATTTTCCTTTCTTCCTAAGACTTACTTTTCTCTCTACAGTTCTGGCTTCAGAAGGGAGATGAGATTAGTCATAGGGGTGACTCCAGTGCAGACATCACTAAGAATCTATGGGACAGGGGTGGGTGGGGGTGGGGTTTCTATCCAGTGGCATTTCAATTCGTTTATTTACATCCAAACTGGTTTAAGAAAGAAGATGACTTATAATGATCTACAAAAGATTCACTGAAAGATATTAGAAAGGAGAATTACAATGAAGGGAAAATAAAAAGGGGGGGGGGTAACTGAAGCTGGGAATGAGGTTGCAAGGAATTTGTGTCCCAAAGAAGTACCAATATCTACCACAGGCACAATGCACATTTGGCTCTGAGCTCTCTGGCAGGCGGTACAGAGAGGAAAACACACCCAGTCAGATGAACTTGGAGTTTACAATCCAAAACCCAGGCTAGTGGGCCAAAAGAAACACATGGCTCTCAAGTACTGAAGCCAGGGGTGAGGGGGCTCTTCCTCTCATTCTCACAGAAAGGGCATTCCATGACACAATGGCCAATGTCGCCAACAAAATCTTGACAGTGGATTTATCAATGAGGGTTGTAGTGGAGGGCAGCGTCACACCCAGTCCAATGGGGACAACCTTCTCATGGTGCAGTGGCTAAAGCAACGAAAAGTGAAGGTAGATTTAGGGGATGTTGACCTCACTGTGGAGACCGGGGTATTAACACTGCCTCTGGTAAGTGGGGAAAAGGGAGGCAAGGAGAACAGAACACGTGGTACACTTGTCTGAAACATAAGTTACTACTGGGGACCCGATTGTGGATGGAATGCCTTCCCTTTAGTTGTTCCTAGCGTCTGTCACTTGTCTTGTGAGTGATTTTGTTGCCCATGCATTTGGTGCACACTGTCCTTAGGATTTCAGGAAGAGTTAAGAACTCTTGAGAAAACCATGAAAGAGGGGGTTCTTGTATACACCTTTACAAAAACTCAGAGGCCTGGAAAAAGTGTTTGCATCCAAAGCTATGTACTCTCCATGAAACAGAATCTTGGATACGTACCAACAAACCAACCAAATGTAACTGGGGCCATAAAGTAGTATCAGAGGGCATGGCTGTAATACCTTTGCCATTGGAAAAGAGATTTAAGTTTTTTCTCAGTTTTTTTTCTGATTATATGTGTATTTGTGGTGGAACCACTACTGAAAAAAAATTACAAATCAGTAACCAGATTCATTGGCTTGCTCTATTATGCTGCTACAATAAATGCCAGACATTTTGTTGAAAACAAAATAGCCATCTACCCAAATATCCAAAACAGTAGCCACCTGTCCTGTACTATGACATAAAAATATGCAAAACTGTGCATCTGCATATTCTCTAGATAATAAAAGCCTAAGGAGATCACTAGCTAGTTCAACCAAAGACACTTGCAAATGGCATTCACTTCATCAAGACGTCATTGTGATTTAAGTATGGTCTCTGTTTTGATATGGCTCCAAGTGTCAACAGCCAAGATCTTTGATTTCACATAGCTGAGCCCCTTCCTGCCCACTGAGTAAATCAACAAAACACAGCTGAGAAGGTTGTTGTGGGTTTTCCTCCACGATCCATGAGTGTGCCGAACCAAGATGGCTACGGAACGCTGGAAGCATGGCTGCTCAAGGGGGCAGTCATTATTTTGGGCAGAGTATGGAAGAGAGGAGTGGATGGTAATTTGGAGGAGCTTTGTAAATTATGGGATGGATCTCATTCTGTGCTAGGTCAGAGCCCACCATCATCATAGCCCTCAAACTGTCCTGGAAGCAGAAACTGATCGGAGTGTTTCCTTCCTGTGACCTTTCCCAGCAACGCTCAGGCAAGGGGCTGTTTAATTCAGCTGATGTGCCTTTCACATTTTACTTGTGAATTTTGAAAAAAAAATAAGTAAATCTGTTTTGCCCATTGTGCTGCTTTGAGAAGTTAATAAAGGGAAACACAGAACTAAAATCTTTTTTTCATCCGGAAACTGTGTAACCGTGATAAAAGAATGCCCTGGAGTGAATAATAACATCGGGTTAGTAATTTAAAAGGTAGTGCAGTCCACAGCTTGATTCCCAAGTTCAACGGAGTGCAAATTAGAAATTACAGATGCCAGTTATTAACACCAACTTCCTTTGATTACCCAGAGTGTTACTCAAGTAGGCGAGGAGGGAACGTGGTCCAAATCTAGACAGGGATGTAGCCTGGCCATGTTAAACCTTGGCATTGAAGATATTAGTGCTGTTTACTTTTGGTGAGGTATGCCTTGTACTGGAAAGGCCCAACCCAGTCCACCATCCCCTCACCCCAAGCCCATGTTTAGGATTTACCACTCTACCTGATCCAGACAGTTGCTACGTAGATACCTCAGTGCTTGTTGAATGCTCTGAGGCAGGGGCTGTCCTGTTCTCTGGACATGGACTATGAGAGGAACACCAAAGACAGCCTTGTCTTTGTAGTCAGGCACCTTCATCCTCTTCATGAACTTTGGAACGGACCTGGAATTCACAGAAACCAGGTCATGCAAGGCCCCTGGGGCGCACCGTGCAGAGAGGCTGTGGAAGCAAGCAAGAGGGAGGCCAAGCTCCGGTTGGAATATCTCAGAGGCAAAGGCAGAATCAACCTTCTCTACGTCAATCACAGTCCAGGGTGCTCTATGAGCTGCCCTTGTCTACGTGTCATTTCTGTTAAACAATATGATTCACATTAGCAAATTGTCTTGGTAGCTCTGTTTTTCATGTCGGGAGTGGTGGGCACTTTTCCAATTTAATTGTGACTGGAAACAGCTCTCATATGGAGAACACTTAAAACTCCCCAATGGAACAAAACAAATTGTGTGTAAAACTTACAAGAGAAAGAATAAATCTGGTTGGGGTTGAAGAAACTGAAGTGGGGGACAAGATGAATCATATTTTGTTGGCTATGTCTTTAGTTTTCTAGAGCTGGCTTTATATTTTAAAGGGGATTTTAATACACGTGCATACATTGATTTGATCACACAATTTATAACCTTTGAGAACAATTTTATAAACACACCATTGATTCTTTTATACATATGACATAATGCTGTATGTTTTTCAAATCCACTCATGCATTCATCCCCAGTAAGTCTGCATACACTATTGATTTCATCAACTCCTTAATTCCAAAGGTATACTGCAAAAATCTCATTTTTACTTGCCAGTGGAAGCAGAAATGTACTTGAAGAATTAGTGAATCAATGCTGTAAGGGGTGGGTTCTGCACCCGGCCACAAGGTCCCAATGACAGATGTTTCTCCACAAACTGCCAGCAATATTTTGTGACAGGTTTATTTCTAATTCCTCTCTTCACAGTTTATCACCCTTTGCTGCCCTTGTTTCTGTCTCAGAACCCGACTCCCTTCCCTGGAAACCAACTGAGAGGTACAAATAAAGCAGTGTTTCCCGCGTGCTTCAGCAGGCCTAACTTGGCTGCCCAGAGGGCAGATGACAAGCAGAAGGCTCCGTGGTTTCCGGGAGAGGGAAATGCAGACAGTGTTCAGTTCTCCAGACACCCGAATATAAACGCTGGAGGCTTTTTGCAACTGCATACTTAACTCTGAACATGTGATCCCTTGGTATGTGCTACGTACCAGGTCCAGCCATGCTTGTTGGACATGGAGCACTTCTCCATGATGGCTGTGAGACGAAGCAGCGAGAAGCGCTGGAACAAGTTCAGCTGAGCCGCAGTCTGGCTGCTGATATGCAGGGTGGCTGGAGATGGCTGAGGCTGGTGTGAGAGCTGGAAGCTACTCCATCGTAGTCTCCTGGAAGAGAGATGGTCAGAGCTGCCAGTCACTCAGTTGATGGTATCTGGGAAGCTCAAACTAGCTAGCCCTTAGGTACAAATGACTGCCCAGGAGTTTCTGAACCAAGAAAATCACAGGGCAGAAGGAACAAAGACAGACCCGGGGCTTAACACATTGTGTAAACCCAGAATAGGGAATATTTTGGTAATTTCATCGTGGGATTTAAATAAGTGATATCATAATCCTTTTTTAAGACTGCTTACTTTCAAATTCAATTCCAAAGTGTTCAGGGTAGCTAAGTCAGGTGTGTGTGTGTGTGTGTGTGTGTGTGTGTATTCATGAGCACCTGTATGTATGGAAAAGTGACAGATGACAAAAAGAGAAAGAAAAAGTAAGATGACAGATGGAGAGACAGATGGAGACAGAGACATGAAGAGATAGACAAAGAGATAGAGACAGACAAAACAGGAGGCATGGGGAGGGAGGGAGAGAGAGAGAGAGAGAGAGAGAGAGAGAGAGAGAGAGAGAGAGAGAGAGAATATATATAATATACACCAGGGAGATTCTCAAACAGTGAGGTTGTACAGCATTTCCTACTTTTTTATGCCTGCCTCCTCACTGTCCTTTGTGGTGGAGATGGCATCTGAAGGTATCAGGCACTGGAACCCCGGTGGCACACATGGATGATGGGAGTCAGAGCCCCTCAGTTCATTTCCTGGGGCGCTTCTGCACATCAGCTTTGTGTGCTGTGTGAACAGTTAACTTGAACAGCCAGGAGCAGGTACAAGGCATAAACATGCCTTAGATTTCATAGAAATATAAATAAAACTGTGCACAGGGACTGAGCCACATTTGTCTGTGACCCTCCATCTACAGTGTTTGTTTAGAATTTTCATGACCAAAACTAAGTTTGAAATAAAGTGCAAACAAAAATGAATGTGTACTGCCAGGCATTGGTGGTGCACGCCTTTAATCCCAGCACTCAGGAGGCAGAGGCAGGAGGATCTTTGTGCGTTCGAGGCCAGCCTGGTCTCCAGAGCGAGTGCCAGGATAGGCTCCAAAGCTACACAGAGAAACCCTGTCTCAACACCCCCCACCCCCCAAAAAAATGAATGTGCACCAACATGGATTCAGTCTCTCTGCCTGTAAAAACAACTCCTCTGTTGAAATAATAATTCCTAACCATGTGTGCACTTAGAACAGCCCCAGGTGATCACAGTCTATCCATCTGTGTTAAGGGATAACCAAAGAGGGGCAGGTGAGAAGGCTCAACAGCTAAAAGCACTGTATGCGCTTGCAGAGGACCTGGGTTAGATTCTCAGCACCCACACACATGGTGGCTCACAAACATCTGTAACTCTAGTTCGGGGGGGGGGGGGAATCTGATGCCCTCTTCTGATCTCCAAGGGTACTACGAACACTCATACACACAAAGTAATAAAAACAACAACAAAAAAGCACAGCCACCACAAAACAGAAGAATCATAACGTTGTAATAGCACGTGACCCACCTGTTTGGCCTAGTCAGAGAGGCCCCCACACCAGAGTCCCTTCTTTCTTTGACCCCAGCTGCCTCCGATTCATTCAGAGAAGTCCCATCCCTTTCCACATCACTGGGTGTTGTCCGACCTTCTGAGACTGAGTTGCCTTCAAAATCTAAAGTGATCTGATTGGGAGACGGAAATGGGGATAAACCAGGCTCCCCTGTCAACACATCGTGACTCTGCAGTTCCGGTAAGATATGTTTTGACCAGTCATCTACCACCTCTTGGATGCCGTTGACATGCTGCAAAATGGCATCCAGCTGTGGGAGGAGGCCATCTTTCTCCAAGTCCAACAGATCTCCTGTGCTGGCGTACAGATGCGAGCCGGGGACATTGTCATAGATACTGACTCTGCTGGCTCTGTGGCAGGATGCCATGAGCCTGGGTTCCCTCATGCCCGGGCCCTGCTGTCTGCCCAGGGAGATGCCCCCGGTCCTCCAATTGACCCCGTTGCTGTTGTCTGTGGGTGAGAGACTCTCTATAGACAGTGCCTTGGGGAACGTTCCTGGTTTGTGATCCTTGGGAATATGCACCACCAAGTTCTCTTGAGAGTGAAATCCATGCTTGTGATTTTGGTCCCAGGTATCTGGTAGCTCTGTCCCTGCCAGCACATCCAGGTCCTCCAGGTACATGCCCCCACGCTTGTTGGCCTCATGGTGGCACTTGCGCTCCTTCGTACATGGAGTGCTCACTCGGCTGCTGTTCTCCAAGGGGCTGCTCTCACCACTTGACTTCCTGGAGCATGGAAGCCCTTTCCTGCAGGCAGCTGGGGGTGAGGTCTGCACATCTCCATTGGGCATCTGAACATGCTGCATGGCCTTAAAGGACTCTGGCTCCTGCTGCAGCACAGGCCCACTGATGACCAGGCCACCTGTCCGCCCTGACCCCTTATGCCTCCCGTGTGCCCCCTTAGTGCGAAGGGTATCCATGCGTTTCAAAAACGATTTGGCCCTGGCCCTGGCCGGTTTCTCATTCTTGGGGTGAGAAGGGTAGCTGAGACTGTCTCGGGGAGACTGTGGGAGGCTGCTGCTAACCTGGGTGCCCTCCAGCACCAGCGTGTTGTCGGCACACTGATGCCCCGACTGGCTGCGGCTGTCACTGCCCCCACTGCTTTCGCTGTGAATGGAGCAGACCTCTGGCTCACTCAGGTCCGTAAGCACACTCTCACTGCTGGTCGTGTTTCTCATCCTAGGGCCTCCTGGGGACCCGTTTCTGTCTGCCCCGGGGAACAGTGTGTGCAGGTCATCCACACGGGACCACCTGCGGCTGGTTCTCTGGAAAGTCCATTTGTTGCTGATGCACAGGTCTTCCTCATCCGAGTCGTCACCCTGCAGCAAAACATAAGGAAAACGCTCATGTCCACAGATCGTGGTGCTACCATCGTATATATATATATAATTTTATTTCCCAACCCTTCCTTTGCTTCTAAGCTTTCCCTTGCTAGGTACTGAGTGTGCAAGCACCACACCACCTGATCAGACAGTGCAGCCTTTCCAAAGCCATTCGTCTCCACCAATACAGGGCACTTCTTTTCTCCCCAAACACCTCTCTGCTAAGTTCAAGGACCACTGTTTATAGCTCTCCTTCTCCTAACCTCAGCCTCATTACACCTTGAAGGTGACATCTAAAAACCTCGATTCCTGTCATACATTCCCCATAAGAGTTACCAGCGAAGTCACAGGCTGAACTCTGAAAAGTGAAGTCCGCACCAAACTAAAGCTCACACTTGAAGAGAGCCCAACCCCGCCGTTCTGGGGACCAGTCTCCTTGTGTTTAATGAACTTGAATCACAGTGCCTTCAGCTGCACACACCTTCCAGTTGCCGTGGTTGCAAAGTTTTGCATTCTTCATGTCACACACTGACCTATCTGTTTTTTGCTGGAATTTGCAGCCTGTGACACACAGAAGTCTTCATTTCCTGAGGCTAGCAGTGTCCCTGTTCGTTTTGTGTATCCCCGAGGCCCAGAAATCATTTACTTCCCCAAATGAATGGCGACATCAGCTCCCACCCTCTCCTCACCACGGTGATCACTAAGACCCAACTTAGAGCTGTTTTTCAGATTAATTCCCAGGTTTGTGTCTTCATTCTCATTTTCTTACTCAACACCACACTCTGAATGTATTACAGGAAAAAACTGACTCCTGATCTTTAGAATGTTCCCCTTCTCACCAGCTTCTCATAATGTTATCCATTCTCTCAGCTTAGATGCCTCCTGCCTGAGCGCCTGCTTTCTCAAGTGTTAGGAACAGGGCCTTCGTTTATTCATGGTACTCATAGTTAGCTTCTCCCCAGTGCCACACCCATAAGAACTGTTTAATTCCCGATGTTGGTTGAATTTATCTTTCTTTGGTGTCTGGTTAAAAGCCTTGGCTACCTCCTCTGAAGTAACTTTCCACTACCTACAAAGTCAGGCTAAAAATAGGCTCTGACTCATAAGTTTTCCTCAGGGAATTAAATAAGGCTGTGCATTTAGCAGGGGAGTTTTGTTCTTTTCAATGTTTGTTCCCTTGTTTGTCTATCTTTTTACTCCTCTAACATCTGCCTTAGCTCCCTAACCTTCCAATTTATTGTTTTCAAGTCACTGGACTCCTCTCTCGGAAGGCTTAATCCATGCAAAGCCAGGCTCTGAGCTGGACTCAGTTGGGATATTCAAGCATTAAGGTGGAAGGAATGACGTAGTCAAAGGCACTCCCAGGAATTTCACGGCAGTGCCACCACAGTGGGAAGATTTAGCTTTGATTTTTTTTTTAATTGTGCCTTTAATCCCAGCACTTGGGAGGCAGAGGCAGGCAGGTCTCTGTGAGTTTGAGGACAGTCTGGTGTACAGAGCGAGTTCCAGGTCTCCAGGACTGCTTCACAGAGAAACCTTGTCTCAAAAAACCAAAACAACAACAACCACAACAAGCCAAACAACAAAAAAATTGTATAACATTTCAGTGAAATAAATTGAAAAATTAAAACTGTGCACACAGAGCTAGGGTAACTCAAAATAGACCTTCTGATACTTTCTAGTTCCTGTCATGATTTTTCTCATAAGACAAAATAAAATAGCAACAAGAAAACATCAGAGCTGTTGATCCATAAGGCACCTCACAGCTGAGGCTGAACTTTCTGGATTTCACAGCACATTTTGGGGAGCGTGTGAGAAGGTGACAAAATTGTAGGGTAGGCAAATGAAGGAGCCACTACTTTTAAAGAAAATACAGATGCTTTAAAACAGAAACTATAATATTTAATGTTGGTTCCAGCTGCTCTCTCTGCCCCATCACTAACACTAGAAAACCACATACAAGTTGGATAAGGTCTCCTTTATTTAGGTTAAGAAAGGATGCCAAGCCAGGCTCTCAAGACTGGAGCCAGAGAGCTGGTCCCTTCTGTGGGGCTCAAATTGCTTATTTATTACCCCAGCCTTAGCCTGCAGGAGAATGGTCACAACCAACCCAAGGCATCTGACAAACGGTAGCTCCTAGACTCCTTGAGAAAGAGGAGCAGCAGAGGGCAGTTAAGTTCTTTGAACCAAATCAAGTAAAGGAAACCAAAGAGGGGTTGGGGGGAGGGGGCCAAGGAAAATGAAAACAGCACCATGACTCTTCAGCATTCAGTGCTGAAAACAATCAAAAGCAACCCTGTTCTGCATCTTTCAAACTACTGATGGTGCCTGAGGGTGAGAGCTGTATTTTCCCTCACTGCAGAGAAGATGCAACCATATAGCACCAACGCACAAAGCATCAAGCTGGGAATAACCATCCTCATTTGCTTGTTTGTCTGGATTGGGCTTCCCCAACCCAAATAATTCAATTCTAGCATGCTCCAAAATCCAAACATTTGCAAGCACTGACATGATGCTGTAGATAAAAATGTTCACACCTGGGCTTGTGTAATGAGTTGTAATTTAAAAAAATGCAGGCATACTGAAACTGTACACAATTACCTCATGGTCATATGCACAAGATGTTCATGAAATAGCAATTAATTTCATGCTTAGATTTTGTTCTCATCCCCATATAATATAGATATTACACATACACAGTGTACAAATATTACCCATACACATATAAAAGCATACACATTATGCATATACAAATATCAAGGTTCCAGAAATATTTAAATAGGAATCACCGCCAGTCCAATCTTCATTTCAGATAAGGCATATTCAACCTGTAGTCTGGTTTAGTCTATTTATTTCTAAAAAACTGTTGCATGTGAAATCACAACATTATTTAGCAATGTGACACATAGCCCTAACCATGTAAAAAAACACCGTTGTTCCAAAGTGTAAGTTTCCTTCACATACTTGGGACAAAGTAAAGTATTAGGTCCATGGCAGACTCCGCTGTAGGACTTGTAGTATATTAACTGTTTAAGAGACTATCAGATTCACTGGTTGGTCCTTTCTTTTTGGACTGGAAACAGTCTGTGTTTATATAGAACTGTGTAATGGAGATATAGAGATCTGAACATGTTTATAGAGCAAAAGACATCTCAAACTGACTTTATTCTTCGGCCGGAATGGTTTAGCATGCTACAGAAACACAACGGACACAGAACATCAGAATTCAGCAAGTCAGTAGATAAAGTTCTGTTGGGATGCTGCAGTAAAGAAGGTGGCTAACTGTGCTGGATGCTGAGAGGGTTTGTTAGTAAGTGAAAATGGGTACCACCACCAAGGCATGATCAAAAGACATGAAGCAGCTGCGGAACGGATCTCTGGAGGTATGCCCGGGGTCATGCCACTTTAAGATTAGTGTTAAAACGGAGAATTTATGCTTTTTTTTTTTTGGTTTTTTGAGACAGGGTTTCTGTGTGTAGCTTTGGAGCCTATCCTGGCACTCACACTGGAGACCAGGCTGACCTCGAACTCACAGAGATCCACCTGCCTCTGAGAATTTATGCTTTTAAAACACAAAGATAGCATAAGTCATGCCCGAAGGATCCTAAGCTGGGTACCCCCTTTAGGAATCAGTTTTCTGCATCACAATATGAAAGATGACTATATATATTATATATATATATATATATATTATAAATATGTTATTCGTTCATAAGCAGAACTAAATGTAACTATATGTGACAAAGCTACCTAAACCTCAAAGTAATAGATAGATCTGATTATCATAGTCAGAGACACAGGGTGAGCACTGCTGGCAATGCCCCCATACACCAAATCTGAGATCTACAATCAGTGAAAGTTTTGAAGGCTAACACGACAATACAAATGAAAGGCTGTATACCAATGAAACTTTACTTCATAGGGTTAGAGACAGTTCAGTTGTTAAAGGTTCAGGCTCACACCTAAAATGATAAGAGTTCAATTCCCAGCACGCAGAGATTTCATGGCATCCACATACAGGCAGACATCAAGAAAAAGAAAGTTTAAAAAAATAACAGAATAAATCTCTAACAAAAGAATGAATGAATTTCATGTAAAGACTTGGGCCCATCACCAAAATACCTTTTTGCATGCATAAACTTTCAAAAGTCTGAAAAATAATCAAATCTAAACAACTTTCTTCTATAGCATTTTGGATAAGACATAAGGGGCATAGGACTGAAGGATGTCCTTCGAAGACACTGAAATTGCCTGGTGTAAAATATACTCTATCCTTTTAAAAGATTAATTTACTTTTACTTTATGTGCACAAGTGCTTTGTTTGCATATGTGTATGAGCACTGCGTGGGTGTCTGGTGCCAGTGGAGGCCAGAAGAGGATCTCAGCCTGAGTTTTCCTGCAATAACCTAGAGTATCAGGTGGGATCCACTGTTTCACACAGAGATACCATGAATCTGTAGCCTTGTAACTGCAGGATGTGGCTCGTGGCGAAGGATGAACTTTGACAACACAGCATCACTTAACTTCATTTTGAATTTTCACCTATTTTTCATTCTGTACTTTCTTAAGAATAGAGAAGAGCAAAATAAGAGATACCATCAAAGAGGGAGCCAGTATAGGTTTACAGCGAAATCAGGCACTAGGGAAATGTCCAGAGACCTACAAGGATGACACCAACTAACCATCTAAGCAACAGTGGAGAGGCTACCTTAAATGCCCTCCCCTGATAATGAGATTGACAACTAACTTATATGCCACCCTAGAGCCTTCATCCAGCAGATGATGGAAGTAGAAGCAGACACCCACAGCTAAAAACGGAACTGAACTGGAATCCAGTTGCTGAGGAGGAGGAGTGATGAGCAAAGGGGTCAAGACCAGGATGGTGAAATCCACAGAAACAGCTGACCTGAACAAGAGGGAGCTCTTAGTCCCTAGACTGAACACTGGGAAACCAGAATGGAACTGATCCAGACCACATAAATGTGGGTGTCAGTGAG